CTTGAGGACAGGCAGGAGGAGTTCAAGTGTCTGGCTGCTGCTTCACCTCATCTCGCGTCTGTGCTACTTGCCCCTGAGAGAGACCCGGATGCACTAGACATCCCGACTCCGCGTTCTTACGCGGAGGCCGTAGAGGGTCCCTACTCCTCTCAGTGGCAGGCAGCTATGGATGCAGAGATGGCTTCCTGGAAGTCCACAGGCACCTACGTTAACGAGGTTCCCCCTCCTAGGGCGAACATCGTCAGTGGCATGTGGATCTTCAGGGTGAAGCGGCCGCCTGGCTCTCCACCTGTCTTGAAGGCGCGGTACGTTGCTCGTGGCTTCAGTCAGCGGCAGGGAGTTGACTACTTTCAGACCTTCTCTCCCACCCCGAAGATGACCACTCTTTGGGTGCTGCTGCACATAGCCGCTCAGCGCGACTACGAGCTTCACTCTCTTGACTTCAGCACTGCTTTCTTGCAGGGCAGCCTGCACGAGGAGATCTGGCTGCGCCGTCCGCCTGGCTTCACTGGGACTTTCCCTCCTGGCACCCAGTGGAGCCTCCGACAGCCAGTCAACGGTCTCCGCCAGGCACCGCGTGAGTGGCACGACACACTGAGGACTACGCTTGCGGCTCTTGGGTTTTCTCCCTCTACTGCTGACCCGTCGCTGTTTCTGCGCACCGACACTTCCCTGCCGCCGTTCTACATCCTCGTGTACGTCAACGACTTGGTCTTTGCCACTACTGACAATGCTGGACTCGCCCACGTGAAGTCCGAGCTGCTGAAGAGACACACGTGCAAAGACCTGTGTGAACTGCGCAGCTACCTTGGCTTGCAGATCACTCGGGACAGAGCACGCCGCACCATTACCTTCACTCAGTCACACATGGTGCAGCAGGTTCTTCAGTGCTTCGGCTTCACGTACTCCTTGCCTCAGGCCACTCCTCTGCCTACTCGCCACTCGCTCTCAGCTCTGCCTTCAGATGAATCCGTAGAGCCGAGTGGCCCGTACCCAGAGCTTGTTGGCTGCCTCATGTACCTTATGACCTGCACTCGACCTGACCTTGCATACCCTCTTAGCATTCTTGCACGCTATGTTGCTCCTGGGAGACACCGACCAGAGCACATGGCTGCAGCGAAGAGGGTTTTACGCTACTTGTGCAGTACGTCGGGCATGGGGCTAGTGCTTGGAGGGCGGAGTCCAGTGGTCCTCACTGGCCACGCAGACGCTTCTTGGGCTGACGACCAGGCTACGCAGCGGTCGTCGCAGGGGTACACCTTCAGTCTTGGTTCTGGCTCTGTCTCTTGGCAGGCTACTCGCTCGTCTTCTGTTCTCGGCTCCAGTTGTGAGGCTGAGATCTACGCCGGGGCCATGGCTGCTCAGGAGCTTCGCTGGCTCACCTACCTGCTGACCGACCTTGGAGAGCCGCCTCGTTCTCATCCAGTACTGTACGTAGACAACAAGGCCATGCTGGCCTTGTGTCGAGAGCAGCGCCTGGAGCACAGAACGAAGCACATTGCTCTTCGCTACTTCCTTGCTCGCGAGCTACAGCAGCGTGGACAGTTGCGGCTTGCGTACGTGGCCTCTGAGGCCAACATTGCTGATGTGTTCACCAAGGCACTCGCGCCTTGTGACCATTAGCGCTTCTGCACTCAGCTGGGACTTGTACCTGTCCTACCTCACTTGCTCACCTCTTGACCTTGCTTGTACTCTTGCATATATATATACCTGCTCTTGCTTGTTTAGCCTTATATGTATATGCCTTCTCGTGCATGTGAACTGGCCTAGTGGCCTTGACCTTGTGCTCGGACTGTGTGGTGACTTTGTGATCCACCCTGAGCTTGCTTTGCTTTGCTTTGCTTGACTGGTCTTGTGACCCCTTGTTCTCCCCCACTTTGCCTATGGGGGTGTGTCAGAACTTATAGCTTATGCTTTTGTGTAGGCTATAGTGGGGTATCCCATAAGGGGTACAACCCAATTAGGGTTGGTACTTGTACTCACACATTTCATAGTTCATTCATTCTCGTTCAAACTTTCTCAGGAATGTACCCCTTAGAGTACATGGCTAGCTAGATTTCTATTTAAACTCTTGTACTCCTATCTTTCATCATCTTGTTCTCCTTCAATTATTATTCAACAAGGTCACTACAGAGACTTCATCGTCTCCTCTCATACTTAACATATTCTATCCTATCCACTGAATCCTTGGTTATATCAACATCGCCGATGGAGCAATAGAGCATTGGATCGTACAAGACAATGCGGCTCCAGCCTTCGACGCCTGGCGGCATCTGAACGCGTATACCAACCAATATATTCGGTTTCAGCGAGCCGTCTGTGTTGGGTGCAAATCTTTTTTTTTCCACGTCAACCAGCCACCTGCATTGCATTTTGCATTTTATGTGTGTGCGCATTTTTCATTTTCATCTTGCGATGTTTTGTGCGCATTTGTTCTTGCATTTTGTGTTTGTGCATTTTCAGTTTCGTTTTCACTGTACCCATGAAGTGCTCAAATGAGGCTCACATGATGCGTTTAAATGAGGCTCACATGATGCGCTCAAATGAGACTCCCGCGAAGTCTCAAATGAGGCCCTCTCAAATGAGTCCTCATGAACAAGGCTCACGCTAGCAGGGTGCACATCCGGAATTTCTTCAACATTCTGGATGTTTTTGTCAGAGATCCAGATTTTGAGGGGACCGACATCCAAATCATCCAGACACGCAAGGGTTTTTTTCTAGAAAAGTCCGGACGCTTAAGTGTGTTTCCCGAAAACCGTCATGCCGGATTTGATAGGTCGCGCCCCTAAAGGATTAACATCTGCAATGCAAAATAGATATCTTCAACTTAACAATAACTTGTGGTTTTCACACAAGTCTCAGTACCAGGGATGTTTAGCCCTGTTGGAGTGTGAGATCTTTCAGGATGGATGAAGTCGCCCTGGGTGGATGGAAGTGCTTTCTTTACTTGTACTACACAACACTAACGAGTCGATAGACCAGAGGCTAGTTCAGGCTCATATGGGCGATTTTCGAATGATTTATACGAGGCTCATCGAAGCTCCATCTGCCTCGAATATTTCATACAAGGCTAATGTGAGCGAGTGGTGTGCAGGGGGGCTCGAAAGTCTGACTGGTCAAAGGGGTGATGTTTGACCGTTTTAGCGCTAGTCGAAATGTGCAAAAATCAAGACCGCGTGTAGGTCTTGATACGCGTGTGTGGCCCCTCTGGGCTTGAGCGTGTGTTGCGACCGAGGGGTGCTCAGAATTTACAGTTGAAAAACTGTTTTCCAAGTTGACTCACGGGACGGGAAATTTCTCGCGAAAGTCGTTTCGCTTTGCGGAATCATTTCGACACAGGTGCAAATCGGTTACTTTGTTTTTCAAACGGTAAAAACCGTTATATAATGTCAACGGGAGTGTTGTTTGGCCCCGTCCTCGCTTTGGCAAAGCCGACCTCGTGGTCGGTGTCAAACATTTTTGCTATAGTCTTTCTAGGCTGTAGTGGGGTAGACAAAATGGGGTACAGTTTCCTAGGGTTACATATTTGTACCCAACTCATTTCTTAGTCAGCCCTCATTATTTCACATGGTATAGAGTGGGTTCCCTAGTGGGAATGTCTCCTAGGGCCCACCACGAAATCGATTTTTTTTTTTTTACCAGCCCTGATCGCGCTTCGCGCCTGCCCTAGTCGCGCCCCGTGCGCCTGCCCTCCCGTCGTGTCCCGTGCCCTTAGCGGCCCGTCGCGCCCTCTTAAGGCCCCTTTGCGGCCCCTTTCACAGCCCATCGTGGCCCCTTCGCGGCTCCCTCGCGGCCCCTCCGTGGCCCTTCGTGGCCCCTCTCACGGCCCTTCGCGGCCCCTCGCGGCCCCTTTGCCGCGCTTCACGGCCCTCCGCGGCCCCTTCGCGGCCCCTCGCGGCCCCTTCTTGGCCCCGTCGCCGCCCTTCGCGGCCCCTTCATGGCCCCTCGTGGCCCCTTCTCGGCCCCTTCGCCGCCCTGAGCGGCCCCTTCACGGCCCCTCTGCGGCTCTTCACGGCCCTGCCGCCCAGCCGTCGCCACCCCAGCAGGAGCTGTCGTCGTGCCTGCTGCCGCTGCTGCTTTTTCTACGACTGGTCGCCGCCGCCGCTGCTGTCGTGACAGCCGCCGCCGCTCCTGCTAGGACAACCGCCGCTGCCACTGCCATGACAGCCGATGCCGCCGTTCTGGCCCTGCCCTACAGCCGAGGCGCTACACTCCTCTGCCGCCCTGTTGCGGCCCTGTCCCTGCCGGCGCACCTCAGCCCTGCCCAACCGCTTACGGACCTCTACCCTCCCGCACCTGGTAAGAGCACCGCCGACCCGCGCCTCTTGTGCTCAGCCTTTTGTTGCCACTGCTAGCCTGGTGTTGCTGCTGTCATGGCTACCCCTAGTGTTCTCACCTTTGATATTGAGGGTCGCGTTGTCGACTTTGAGGTCTGGGTCGATGATCTGCAGCTTTTCCTATAGTGCGATAGAAAAGATGGTCTCACACTGTTCGATCTCACGTCTAGCGCCTTTGCTGCCCCTGCTGCCGATGCTGACAGTACTTTTCGCTCACAGTGGGCCACACGCTGCTGCCCGTGTTGCTGTGCGTAGTCACTTGCCGTCCACTGAGAGCGCGCACTTTAGTCAGTACAAGAGTGCTAAGACCTTGTACGACGCTATAGCTGCACGCTAATCTTCCCGTGCCACTGCTGCCCTTAGTCGCCTCATGCTGCCATACCTGTTCCCTGACCTCGCCGCCTTTCCCACGGTTACTGACCTCATTACGCACCTTCGCACTAGTGACACCCGCTACCGCGCTGCACTTCCTGCTGAGTTCTACGCCAAGAACCCCCCCACCCATGTACATCACCCTCTACTACCTAGTCACCCGGCTCCCTCACTCCCTTCGCTCGGTCAGGGACCACTTCCTCTCTGTATGCTCCACCACACTCACTGTTGAACTCCTCAAGGAGCGCCTCCTGGCATCTGAGAAGAGTATAGTCAACGTAGGAGCCTCTCATGGTGACCCTCGCACCCCCTTCTTTGAGGGTTGCTCCCCCTCCCCCCTTTTGCCCTCTGTTGCCTCTGCTGCTTCGGTCGACCTCGTTGGCACCAAGTCGGTCGGCGCTGCATCTGCCCCTAGCGGGTGACGCCGCAACGGCAAGGGCAAAGGGGGTAAGGGCACTGAAGGAGCTGGCGGGGGCGATGGAGGAGGCAATGGAGGTGGCAGAGGGGGTGGGGGTGGCGGTGGGAGTGGTGGCGGGGGTGGGGGCTTCGGTGGCGGCGGTGGAGGCAGAGGCGGTGGCGGCAGTGGCGGTGGGAGCGGAGGAGGCGGCAGTGGCGGCGATGGCGTCGGCGGCGGTGGAGCTGGTCCGGGTGGCTCTGTGCAGCGGGGCAGCTTTGGTGGTGGCCAGCGCTAGCAACAGCAGCGCACTCGTGAGACCCCGCCCCCTCAGCAGCTTAGTGAGTGGACGATGCGTGTCAGCGGGGTGAGGGTGCTAGTCCCTGTGCCTACGTCCTACGTACCGGCGACTGCACTGGTGAGCCGTGCGGTGGCCCGCACACCACCCAATGTTGCTTCCGCCGCCTGACGGACACCTGGCCTCTCCAGTTCCCTGACGCCTTTGAGATCCCTCGCTGGGGTGAGCTGCTTAAGTCGGGGATTGCTATCTTTGACCTTGATTATGATGCTATTCTTGCTGCCATGTATGTTGTGTCTACTAGTGATGAGGGTGACTGCTACCTGTCTGTTCCGCCCGACCCGGGCATTGAGGCTGCTGCTCTAGGTGCTGGTGAGGCAGCTGCTCTAGGTGCTAGTGCGTCTGCTGCCCCAGGTGCTGGTGAGTCTGCTCTCTCAGTTGCCACGTCAGCTCAGGCCTTACACACCTTCACCCTTAACTCGGGTGCTTCCCACTCCTTCTTTCGAGACCGCACCACACTCACGCCGCTTAGTCGGCCGGTTGCGGTCTCCCTGGCAGACCCCTCTTGGGTTCCTGTCCTTGCCAACTTCTCCACTGTCTTACCGTGTCCGGCGGCCCCTTCTGGCACCCTGTCAGGTCTTTACCTCCCCTCGTTCTCTACGAACTTGGTGAGTGGTGCTGATCTACAGGATGGGGGGGTTGACCAGTTCACTCCTGCGAGTCAGCGAGTGACCCGCTGCATGTTTGCTAGGACGGGCCGACACTTGGCCACGTTTACCCGTCAGCCGGGGTCGAGCCTCTACATACTGACTACTGAGTCTCCTCTGGTTGATGCGTCTGGTCAGGTAGCTGCGTCAGGTCAGGTGTTTGCTGCAGCGTCCAGGTCTGGTCCTGAGTCTGCCCCCTGCTCGTGTCATCTCCTATCTCACGAGACTCTCCTCTAGCACCACCGCCTTGGTCACCCCTCCCTGCCTCGTCTTCAAGGCATGGCCTCCCATGCCTAGCCCGTAGTCTAGCTTTCGTTGCAGCAGTTATCTCCGCATGGTGCGGTGAGCGTGGAAGACACCGCGACATAGTTTAGTCTAGCCAACTTTGCACCAACAGTGTTCGTAGGCTGGCAGCCGTGCAGTCACTAGCATGCGCGTAGGTGACGCCGAGGTGATGGACATCCTGGAGGGACGGCTGGAGGATGCGAGGAGACGCCATGAGGCCCAGGAGTACGGGGTGATACCCTGGGCAGTCGTCAAGGCCGTACACCCCTTCTTTTGGGCGTCGAAGCACCCCCCTTCTCGGCCTGCCTCTCCTCGACTGGTGAACACCGACGGTAGCGTCAACGTGGGCGTCAACACCAGTGGAGGTCAGGTCGGCAGCAGTGCGGTAGGCACGTCGAGGCAGCGAATTGTGATACACGCCGGTGAAGCCGGCGGCATTAGGCGCGAAGGATGCAGTCGTCGACGGCTGCAGGCTCCTCGCAGGGCGATGTCGGAGGTCGACGGAGCGGGCGGTCACCGATGTCGGCGTCCTAGGTGACGGCAGGCAGAATTGCGCCGAGCTACGCCTACTTCAAGTTTACGCCAAACAGGATCTCGGTCACCCCTTCGCTGGTCGGTGGACCCGACATTCTCACCTGGAAGAAAGCTATCGAGCCCCAGCTGGAGATGGCTGGGCTTTTCAGCTTTGTTCGAGGTACCGTGGCAACGCCGGAGGACCCCGACCTGCGTGCGGAGTTTCGCGCCGCTCAGCTGTTGACCTTCACGGTCATCTCGCGGTGCTGCTCGCCGGGCATGCAGATCGCCCTAAAGTGGTGAAGGGAGTACCTTGACGCCGGACACCAGGCATGGTACTTCATTGAATCGACGTACCAGGTCACCGACGACTTGTTCATCGCCCAGCTGGAGGGACAGCTGACGCACTTGCGTATGGGTGACGAGAGGAACGGCGACCAACTACTGCAATCGAGCCCGGCGAATTCTCGCCACTATCAGGATGGCCGGCACGCAGTACTCCACGGCGTCGTACATTAACCATGTCATGCAGGGACTCTCTAGCAGCTACAACCTCCTGAAGCGGCTGTGAATGGTGCCAAGCATGAGGGCGACGCTCAACGAGGACAACTTGACCTCGTATATCCTACAAGACGAAGCGATGCAGGAGGATGAGCGGTCCCAGGAGCCTCTGGTGCAGGTGAACTACGTCACCCCGGTGAAGCAGGGTGGTCGACCGGGGCAGCGTGGGCAGTACGGCTGCAGCGGTAGCAGCGGGTGGAAGCCGGCAAAGGGCGTGGAGAAGCAGAAGTCTCCCACGGGTGGCGGCCGAGGAGGAGGAAGTCGGCGTCGGGAGTGCTGGATCTGCCACAGCCTCGACCACCTCTCCTTCGAGTGCCCCGACCGCAGCGATACCGACGACAACAACGCCAAGGGAGGCCACGAGAGGTCGGCGAGCTGTCGCCCACGTCGAGGAAACTAGCCGCGTAAGGAGAAGCAGTCAAACAAGACGACCTCGACGAAGGACGCCGACTCCTGTGCTGGTGGCAAGGGGCGAGACGACAAGGCGACGTCGTGCTTGCTAGTCAGCGTCGTGGAGCCGACCGTCTCGCTGGCGCCGGAGGCCGATGAGGACTTCTAGGCGGTGGCGGCAGCTGTGCAGGCAAACCCGGAGGTGGTCCTGCTCGACGGCGGATGCTCGCACCACCTGATGGGGACGAAGGAGGCTTTCGTTGACTTGGGGCCGAGCGGCGATGTCAAGCACGTGCGTGGATTCAATGGGGCGCTGCAGGGCGTTCAGGGTCGCGGCACTGTCGCTCTGAAAGGGGAGGCCGGGAAGCAAGTGCTCATCCCCGACGTGCTCTACGTCCTAGGCGTGCGACCTGCTTTTGGCCGACCAGCTGAAGGAGCACGGTGTCAAGCTGCAGGAGGACGGCGACGGGATGTTGCTCGTCTCGGCAGCAGGAGAGGTGCTCGGCCGGGCAACGTACACCGGACGTATACTCTGCACCGACCTGCGTCCCTGCTCGGCCAATCAGACGATGCCCCCTACGGAGGTGGTGGCCCTGCGGGCGATCGTCTCGGTGATGAAGGCAACGCCGGACAGGATGCACGTGCGGATTGCACACGGCGGCATGGACACTATCCGGAGCTCGGCGAAGCACGAGGTCGCCACCGGGCCGGACCTCAAATCGGCGTCAAGCGCCGACTAACCATGTGTTTTGTGCGTCGGCGGGAAGCTGGCGCGGCACCCCTTCCCTGACAAAGGTTCCGACGCCAACGAAGTGCTGGCCATCGTGCACATCAACCTGTGCAGACCATTTCGTGTGGCTGCCAAGGATGGTAGCTTGTACTTGCTGCTGAAGGACCGCAAGACCCGCTACGTGTGGGTGAAGCCAGTCACTAAGAAGTCGGATGCGTTGCTGGCGTTTGTGCAGTGGCTGGCGGTGGCTGAGCGGAAGACGAAGAAGTCAGTGCTGATGCTGCGCTCTAACCGGGGAGGGGAGTTCCTTGGGAAGCAGGTCACCGACTTCGTGAACGGAATGGGGATCGTCCACGACCTGACCTGCCCATACACCCCGCAGCAGAACGGCATGGCGGAGCGAGAGATGAGGACGGTGGTGGAGTCGGTTCGCACGATGCTGCTGCACATGGGCGTGCAGCACCACTGGTGGCACCTCGCTCTGCGGCAGGCCGTCTGGATCCGCAACTGCCTTGAGCGGTCGGCGCTGCCGCAGGGGATAACGCTGTACCAGCTGCTCACCGGGAAGAAGCCTGACTTGTCGCTGGCGCGGGTGTGGGGCTGCATGGCACAATTCTTGGTCCCTGAGCAGCAGCGTGGTGGGAAGCTGCAGCCGAAGGCCCGGTGGGGCCTCCACCTCGGCGTGTCGGAGGAGAGCAAGGGCTAGGAGCTCCTCGACATCGCCGACAACCGGGTGGTCACCACGTCGGACGTGGTGTTCTACGAGAGCATGTCGCTGGAGGTGTGGAAGTCGGCGCACGGGCCGGCGTCAATGCAACTGCCTATTCACCCGCCAACGGACACCTCGGCTGCGACGCTGCCTCTGCTTGCCGAGGTCGGAGAGCTTTTGGGTGCGGACGCCAAGGACGTCCCCTCTCCCTGCCCAGCACCTGCCCCTCCCCTTGTTACCAACTTGCATGGGCTGACCCCGATGTCGGTCTCCGGCGATGAGGGGAGAAGTGGGGCGTCACCTGTGGCGCCGGATCCAAGCATCGCCGGTGGTCAACGTGATGCTACCGGTGGCCAACGAGATGCTGTGCAAAGCAGTGTGGGAGCAAAGCTGACGATGACCAAGAGGCAGCAGGTGGTGCTGCCGACTTTGGTAAAGCCGATGAAGGAGACGCCTGTAGAACGGCAGGTGACAGGGGAGCAGGCAGCAGCGACGCCGACCAAGGAGCTGTCGGCGACCGGGCAGTCGGCAAGGGAGCCAACCACAGGGGAGAAGACGGCTGGGACGCTGACTGAGGTGCAGCAGGACGCCGAGGATAGCGACCACGGCGACGATGGAGGGGACGCCGAAGAGGTCCAGCCGGGACCACCGCATTCTGGCCGATATCCGAGGCCGCCCGACTTCTTTGTCCCCGCTGCCTTCACCACCGTGTACAACGTGGACGATGATGACCTGCTGTACGACGACGTCGAGGAGGATGAAGAGTTTCCGGAGCTCGACCTCGACATGCTGGCCGACCCCGAGCACCGTTGGGACATCTCGACGATGACGGTGAAGGAGGCGTTGGCGAGCTGGAAGGGCTTGGCGATGAAGGCCGCCATGGAGGAGGAGATCCGTAGCCTCATCAACATGGGCATGTGGGAGCTGGTCGAACGCCCGCCGGGAGTCAACATCATGAAGAACCGGTGGGTGTTGACGACGAAGTACCACATCAACGACACCGTTGAGCGGGAGAAGGCAAGGCTGGTTGTGAAGGGCTTCACGCAAGTGTATGGTGCCGACTATAACAAGAGGTTCACGCCGGTGGGCAGCTACGTCACGCTGAGGATCTTCCTCAGCATCGTCACCGTCCTCAACCTCAACCTGATGCAGCTCGACATGAAGAATGCCTTCCTGCAGAGCAAGCTCGACCGGGTGCTGTACTTGTCCTTGCCGGACTACTTCAACGACGGAACCGGCCAGGTGTGCAAGCTGCTCAAGAGCATTAACCGGCTGAAGCAGTCGCCACGGCTATGGTACTTGGCGCTCAACGATGTGCTGGTTGGCACCGGGTGGAAGAAGAGCCAGGTCCACGAGGCTCTGTACTTCAAGGTTGGCGATGACAGAGTGGCCTGCTGGGTGCTGGTCTACGTCGACGATCTGCTCACCGCCAACAGTAGCGCCGCGATGCTGGAGAAGCTGAAGGAGCTGTTGGAAGCCGCCTTCGAGCTGCGCGAGATCTCGCCGGTGCAGAAGTTCCTCGGGCTGGAGATCGTTTGCGACATGTTGGCAGGGAAGCTGTGGTTGCACCAGCAGGGCTACGTCGACAAGCTTGGTAGGCGCTTCATCGACGAGGAGCAGACCGGGCGCACTCCGAAGACGCCGGTCTCGGTCGACGCCTACGTCGAGCTCACCTTTGACGACGAGGAGGCACAAGAACGCCAGGAGGAGGAGCTCCAGTAGAAGGTCAGCTCGCTGCAGTTTGCGGCAGCGATGACGAGGCCGGACATCGCCTTCGTCTGCAGCAAGCTGGGGAGTGGCCTCACGGTGAGGAGCCACCAGCACTGGCGCGAGGTCGAACGCTGCCTCGCCTACCTTGCCAACACTCGTGACACTGCCCTGGAGTTTGGTGGTGGTCCTGAGTCGCTAGAGCTGGTCGGCTACGTGGACGCCGACGATGCCGGTGACAAGCAGAACAAGACGAGCACGGGTGGCTACGTGTTTGTCTATGGAGGGGCTGCAGTCTCCTGGTCGAGCCAGCACATCAAGTGCGCGACATTGTTGTCGACC